AAAAAAATTCACTGAAAGAATCTGCAGTTCCTAAGAGCTTCTGTAGCTGACGGATAACGAAGTATCTCCGCCTGGAAAGATTTGAGGGCGCTCTTCAGCGTCCTCTGCTGGTTGGTCTGGGCTTTGTACTTGTAGTTCATGCTCAACAGTTTCTCAGCTAGATAGTGCAGCCACAACACGTTGGAATGAGGATTATAGGTGGACCAGCAGTTACTGAGAGAGAGAATGAGAGAAACAATGAGAATCAATGATTTTTAAATAACATTTTATCTGAGGCTGAAGGACATACTTGTTTTCTTTCTTCATTAGACGGTAGATTTCAAACTGATAATCTCCCTGACCCATAAACAACTCCTCATCATTAGAGATATCACATGACACCGTCAGTCCATCTGAGAGAGAGAGAGAGACAAAAAAGTGGTTTCAAACAGAATATTTTCCTATTCATTTGTATCAGGTTAACAATTTGTTCAACTCTTCTTTTACTATTTTTAACAAAACATCTCAATATAGTTTACAACAAACATGTGATTGTTTATAGACATACATATTAAATAAAAGTAATATAAATTTGAACAAAACATGGTAACAGGGTTGCAAATTTAACCTAAATGAAACTCTTAAAAGGACAACTGTCCATTTTTAACCAGCTTTGTATTTGTTACGGTATATAATATATGTGAATGTAACATGGAGGGGAAAAAAAGTTCACATTTCACAGAAAAGCTGGTTGAAAATCAGTGAACTTGACTAGTTTGGGACCAAATATTGATTAGTAGTTAATTTATGGGAAATTTCAATTTATTTATTTATTTATTTTTTCTTGGTGATATGTCGGAAGCTTTTATTTTGACAAGTAAATTTTTTTCATATTTACCTAATTTAGGAAATAGTACGTAAAATAAATTTCATTTTAACAATTGTTTTGCATGTGTTTTTACTCTCTCTAAATTAAATAGTGTGATATATATCAGCTTTATATTGGCCGTCAGCATAAGATATTGGAATCGGCCATCAAAAAAACCCCCATCAGTCAACCACTAAGATTGGTTAACCCTAACCCTAATTTTTGCCCATTTCTCTATTCTTGCCGGGCATTTAAACATCTTAACGTGCATTTCTTGGGCTTAATGAAGTGTACATGTAGGGGAGAATATACAGTCAAACCAAAATTTATTCAGACACCTTCAACATTTCTCACATTATCACAGTTTATTCGCTATAGTTTAGAAAATGGTAATAAAATATGACAAGAACTTAAAGAGTTAAACTGTGTCGGAACAAATTAATCTTGATAATGTCAGATAACTTTCATAGAAAGGTATGTAATGAATTAGTCTGTCAGCTGTTAAATTCTAGAACACAATTAGATAATACCAATTTAGCTCAACCGATTACCAAGCAATGCTTCATTTTGTGGTGTAAAAAGGTCGCATTATCAATTAAAGAAAAAACTCTTAAGCAAACCATGGTCAGGTCAAAGTGTCTGAATAATTTTTGGTCCCATATTTTTATCAGTTTTACTGGTAGTCCACTGTATGAAGAATTTTGGGTATATGTCACAGTTTACTTTTGCTATCATGACTTACATATATGAACTATAGTGTCCTGCACCCACTAGTAAAAAAAATATCAAAAATTATATCTGGTGTCTGAATAATTTTTGGTTTGACTGTATACACATTTTGATGTCACCGCCAGGGAGAAAAAAAAAACCAAACAAACAAAAAATATGTTTATGTTTTGCAAACACATTTCTTTTTTCTCAGTTATTATTTTCTAACAAAATAAAACAAACAAAAAAGAAAGAAGAAAAAGTCCCATTACACATTATAAACAACCACCTGACATGAGAAAAAAATGGTTCAACTATACATATGATGTTTGTCATTTTTTTTTAATTATTGGCAAGAGCCAAGTGCTAATATGTCATTCTTCATCACAACATAAAACAGTTTAGAATTTTAGTATATCAACATGTTGTTAATGGCTTTGCTGTAGCATGTGCAGTCCGAGTCATTCAACATTTTGACATGCAGTGAGGGTCTCTTTCAGAGCACGCAATCTGTGAGCCCACACGGAACAAGCAGATGTCATCGTGCCATCAAGCATGGCCATTAAGCATTTACGAGTCATCTCTCTGCATCGCGCATGTAACCTGCCAAAACTCAAATGTAATCGCGTTTACTTTAGTATTTGAATTTCTGATGCCTTCCGTTTCCATGGAAACCTGTCATTCAGTGTCAGGGGCGGGACTATACTATGGGGCATGTTTGTATTGGGAAGTGACGTCACTCACAGACGATTGTGTGCTGAATGCTAAGAACAAAGGAGGTCATCGGTAAAGGCACCGCCAAAGGCAGCTGCCAATCCAATAGATGAGTGTGAACGAACAGACAGTGCAACCCGGGGCTCCTTATACAATAAATCATTCCGTCGTTTTTACCCCAAATGCAGCGACTATCCCCTGCTAACAGCGGGAGCCACAACGGTACGCACAATAGGTCAATATTCACCATTAACCAAACACTTTTCACCTGTCACACGATCTCTCACTATTTGCACTCCGACTGATGCATGCTAGCAAACAGCCAAAAAGTGCGACGCTTAGGTGCCGCGTGATTCATTATGGATTAGAAGAGAGGAATAAAATATAAGGTAAGGTGGCAAAAAGGCAAATAAGAGCAGAGTTGCAGTGTCGTTTTGCTCACATGCATCTATCGGATTGGCAGATGCCTTTATCGGAGCCTTTACCGATAAATGTGGATATAAATACATATATAAATAAATATGAAAATAAATAAACAAATGTGGAAATAAATAAATAAACGAAAAATTAAATAAATGAGGAAAAAAATTTAAATATACATAGATAAAGAAATAAAAGTATAAATAATTGTTTATTTTTGTTGTTTTTTTTCATTTTCTTTGCATATTCATATGCATATATATTTGTTATTTATGTATTTATTTTTTTATTTTTTTATTTTATTATTGTTATTATTATTATTTTTATTTTATTTAATTTTTTGCTTTTTTACATTTCTTTGTATATTTATTTATCTATTTATTTATTTATAATTTTGTCAGGTTTGGAATTCCATAGCTCAGTGTCAGTCGGGGTGGGAGGCTCAGCACTCTCCTTTGCTTTCACCAATGTTTGATGGATTTGGCACATATTTATCTGACTTCATTCTTACAAGTGCACCGAGAGCCACGGCTGTGATTTTTAGCACTAAGCACTGACCTAGAATAGCAATAAGCATCTGAACAGTGCTGGAAGTGAACTGGTACTGTGTGCAATGCTTTTACAAGCACCAGGAATTATTCTTGTGTATCAGCAGCTCTCATAAACTGATGCCTTTTCTTTCCCTGCTTGAGAAGGCACTCTCTAAACATCACATTTGGTGGATATTACAGCTTATTATAGCAGACAGCCTTCATATGTTGTCTGAATGACATGCTAAGCCACCAATGACTGGTTTCATGTGACATTTAGACGGCGTGTAAACGACTGCATGCACCAAAAGTGTTAATGTAGGATATCAACATTTGGGATATAAACATCCATGGAAATTCCTGGAAGTCTCTGAAGTATTTGAAGGCATTTAGCTGGTAAACTTTGGTAAAGTAGTTAATCACAATGGCTCGTTTTAGCTGTCCAGTATTTTGCAAACAGCCCATTATTTCCTTCAAAACGTATGCATATAGGTCTATATTAGGGCTGCCAGTATATTAAATAATTATTGTGAATATTAAGCTTAATCTCAAATTTTATATAATTTGTATGAGCTGAAAAATAAAATATATTTTATGTGCTGAAATTTGCATCAAAATATATATATATTTTTTTTCCCCTTATCTCTTAATCAGCTCCTCTTAGGCAATAAATAAATAAATACCCGCCCCCCCCTGCTTTTTTTTCAGCTAGACTGCATCATAAATGCAAACTGCTTGTAATTTTCCTTCAGTGTCCAAGCAGAAAAGAGATCTCATTTCAAAATCATGGTTAGAAATATGAGGCTGGTCAATGACAGGCTTCTTTCAGTGTAGCGATACAGAGAGAAATCAGTGTTAGACAATTACATTGACAACCACAAACTGCACTGCACGGGTGGCTCCATAATTCGATCCATTTTGAGGAGGTTTGAAGGGCTGCCTAGATAAAAAAAAATAAGAATAAATTACAGGCAGAAGAAAGAAATGTGCCTTTCAATCCGTACGCATCTACCTTTTACTTTCTTGTTCTCTCCTTCTCCGCTCGCAATCATTGATTTAGCAAATGAAAGAACAGCAGCGGTGTTAAAAGGCTTGTCACATACAGTTCACACAAAGCTGAGCAGAAATGACACCAAGTCCCTCAAAACACAGTCAGCCCTTCGCCTCCTGCTAACATATAACACTCGGCTCTCTCACACTGACACAGGGGGCAGACGCCAATCTGATGTTAAACTGACAGCCTATCAAAGACATCTGCTCACAAAGTCTCAAAACACAGAGAATTTCATTGTAGTGTAAGACACTGTATATCTGCCAGCACAGACTCTTAAGGAATACTGTACATGTTTTTCTTCAGAGGCAAATGACTGAAACATTACATCATGATGTTCGTATTTCACTTACATTGTGTCCTACACAGGCAAAAGTGCATTTTCTGTCCACACTGAAAGTGAAGCTGCTGCGTAACAGATGTTTGGTGTTTAGGTACAATTATGTGGACTGGATTTTGGACCAATCAGGTTTTGGGGTGGGCGTGGCTACTCAACGATGCTGAAATACAACCCCTGAGCAAATGTCCTGTCACTCATTGCTTGTTGACGTCGCTGGTCAGATTTACATGAAATAAATTGCTTTTACTGCTTGCTACTTCATCGCGCCTGGTTGGGAAACTGTGCTACCTGTCAAAGAAAGAGATGAAGGAAGAAAGTTGGAAAAGGCAGAACTGATACTCCACTGAGACGGTCATTCTCAGAGCTCCTTAATCTTTTTTTTCAGCTCCAATAAGTCCTGTGAAACAAAGACAGATGTTTAAAGCTTGAGAGAGATGCCTCAGCATGTAGCCGGCAGAAATTAGATTCTGGCCTAAATTTCATCCTGTTTTCACTTTTCTGTAGCAGTTCAGAAACAACGCAATGAAATCTCAACAGGACTGTGAGCTGAGCGTCTTCAGAAAGAGAGTGAGGGAGAACAAAGCATTTTATTGTCTTGCATGGTTATTACAGTGAATTTGCAGGTAGAAATATGCAATATATATTATCAATATATGCGTTTAGGTATGCACAATATATCGGTACCATATCGGTTATCGGTTAACATTACACGTTTTTTATTGTATTGTATCGGCACTTATTGAATATTTAAATTATGCACACGCATTCCTGTCAGCCATATTACATATTCCATAAAATTTGCAATGTATATTATCAATATATAAGTTTAGGAACCCACAATATATTAGTACAATATTGGTTATTGATTAATATTACAGATTTATTGTAATGTCTCGGCATTGGACTATATTGAATATTTAATTGTGCATGATCATTCCTGTCTATAACCATATCGGTTATTGACTAATATTACAGTTTTTTTTTTTTTATGTATCAGTAATGGCCCATATTGAATATTTAAAGTGTGCACACTAATTCCCGTCTTTTTTTATTTTATGTATTGCCACTGGCTCATATTGAATATTTAATTGTGTATGCTTATTCCTGTCTATAACCATATCGTTTATTGACTAATATTACAGTTTGTTTTTTTTTATGTATCAGTATTGGCCCATATTGAATATTTAAATTGTGCACACTAATTCCCGTCTTTTTTTTTATGAATTGCCACTGGCTCATATTGAATATTTAATTGTGTATGCTCATTCCTGTCTCTAACAATATAAATTATTGACTAACATTATTATTATTATTATTATTATTATTTTTAACGTATCAACCCATATTGAAGATTTATTTGTGTATGCTCATACCAGTCTATATCCATTTTGGTTATTGACTAATATTACACACACACACATACAGTATATATATATATATATATACATATATATATATATATATCAGCCAATTTTGAATATTTAATTGTGCATGCTCATTCCCATCTTTAAACCATATCGGTTGTCATCTGATATTATATATATATTTTTTTAATATATCGGTATTGGTCCATATTGAATATTTAATTGTGCATGCTCATTCCTGTATTTTTTTTTTTCTGTTAAACGTAACATTTAGCAAATCACCAGATGAATATTAATTTTTCAGATGGTGTTTTATTTGGAAATTACTTGCACAAAATAGTACATAATTTCAACACCAGCCATTAATCAGTTGTCAGTCACATAACACAAAATAATTATCGTCAACATTTTAAGAACGGTATTTAAAAACTTTTCAATGGCTGTCAAAGGAAAAATATTTTTGCAGCTAGATGGTGCATTTACAGCATTTAACTGCAGACGATAGCTATACCAACCAACTAAAACTCGACACGAGGTAAAAACTTGGCCCATATTGAATATTTAAATTGTGCACACTAATTCCCGTCTTTTTTTTTATGAATTGCCACTGGCTCATATTGAATATTTAATTGTGTATGCTCATTCCTGTCTCTAACAATATAAATTATTGACTAACATTATTATTATTATTATTATTATTATTTTTAACGTATCAACCCATATTGAAGATTTATTTGTGTATGCTCATACCAGTCTATATCCATTTTGGTTATTGACTAATATTACACACACACACATACAGTATATATATATATATATATACATATATATATATATATATCAGCCAATTTTGAATATTTAATTGTGCATGCTCATTCCCATCTTTAAACCATATCGGTTGTCATCTGATATTATATATATTTTTTTTTTATATATCGGTATTGGTCCATATTGAATATTTAATTGTGCATGCTCATTCCTGTATTTTTTTTTTCTGTTAAACGTAACATTTAGCAAATCACCAGATGAATATTAATTTTTCAGATGGTGTTTTATTTGGAAATTACTTGCACAAAATAGTACATAATTTCAACACCAGCCATTAATCAGTTGTCAGTCACATAACACAAAATAATTATCGTCAACATTTTAAGAACGGTATTTAAAAACTTTTCAATGGCTGTCAAAGGAAAAATATTTTTGCAGCTAGATGGTGCATTTACAGCATTTAACTGCAGACGATAGCTATACCAACCAACTAAAACTCGACACGAGGTAAAAACGCAATGTTGTTAAAAGCGCCTTCATATTTGTGTGTGTGTTATGGCGAGTACGATGGTAATTCTGTGCGAGACAGACTTCGTG